GATCATTAGCCATCAGAGAAATGCAGATCAAAACTACAATGAGAAATCATCTCACCCCAACAAGGCTAGCATTAATCCATAAAACACAAAATAACAAATGCTGGAGAGGTTGTGGAGAGACTGGAACACTTATACGCTGTTGGTGGGAATGTAAAATGGTCCAACCACTTTGGAAATCGATTTGGCGCTTCCTTAAAAAGCTAGAAATAGAAGTACCATACGATCCAGCTATCCCCCTCCTTGGAATATATCCTATAGAAGCAAGAGCCGTCACACGAGTAGATACATGCACACCCATGTTCATCGCAGCACTGTTCACAATAGCCAAAGGATGGAAGCAACCCAAGTGCCCATCAATGGATGAATGGATAAACAAACTATGGTATATCCACACAATGGAATATTACACAACGATAAAGAACAATGATGAAGCTGTGAAACATCGTATAACTTGATGGAAGCTGGAATTTATTATGCTGAGTGAATTTAGTCAGGCACAGAAGGACAAATACTGTATAAGACCACTATTAAAAGAACTCAAGAAAAGGTTTAAACACAGAAGAAAAGATTCTTCGATGGTTATGGGGGTGAGGAGGGAGGGTGAGGGTTATTCACTAACTAGATAGTAGATAAGAATGATCTTAGGTGAAGGGAAGGACAGCACACGGGAAGCCAGCACAATTGGACTAAACCAAAGCTAAGAAGTTTCCTCAATACAATCAAATACTTTGAGAGACAGAGTAACAGGGATGCGGGGTCTGGGGGCTATGCTTTCAGGGGACATGTATGTCAATTGGCATAACAAACTTTATTAAGAAAATGTTCTGTATCCTACTTTGGTGAGTGGCGTCTGGGGTCTTAAAAGCTTGCAAGTGGCCATCTAAGATGCATCAGTTGGTCCCAACCACTTGGAGTAAAGGAGAAGGAAGAACACCAAAGACGCAAGGAAAGTATTGGCCCAAGAGACAGAATGGGCCACATAAACCAGAGACTTCATCAGTCTGAGACCAGAAGAACTAGATGGTGCTGGGCTACCACCAATGAACGTCCTGACAGGGAACACAACAGAGGGTCCCTGATGGAGCAGTAGAACGATGGGATGCATAACTCAAATATTAGTAAGAAGACCAGACTTAATGGTCTGACTGAGACTGGAGGCGCCCCGGACAGCGTGGCCCCTGGTCTGTCCATCACCGCAGAACTAAAACAGTTTCCGAGGCCAACTCTTCAGACAGGGATTGGACTGGACTGTGGGACATAAAGTGATACTCGTGAAGAATGTGCCTCTTAGACAAGTAGATATAAGAGACCAAAGGGGCGGCTTCTGTCCAGAGGTGAGAGGGGAAGGCAGAGAGAGTTAGGAGCTGGTTGAATGTTCATGGGGAATCGGGCGGAGGGGAGGAGTGTGCTGTCGCAGAATGGGGTGAGTAGTTGGGGTCTCGTAACAACGTATGTTAAAAAAAAAATTCTGTATGGGAGACTAACTTGAAATGTAAACTTCATTTAATTACGTCAATTAAAAAAAAAAGAAATTAAAAAAAAAAAAAACCCTCTTGTGCCCAGTGGTACATAGAGCAACCATGAAATTTTTTAGCCTCTGGGGTTTGTTGGGAACCTGCTGTACCACTGACAGTCTATGCTGCCACAGGACAGGGGCCTTTATGACTGTTTGAAAGAGAAGAAATGGACACGTGCTGCAAACTACTGTTTTTACAGGGTATTGTATGAGGTGTCTGAATTTTTGGTAGGAAAAATAGAAATCTTGACAATTTTTATTTGTTACACGTATGTACCAGTAGACCCCAGTGAGGGCTCTGGGGTGTCATTAGTGGTACTTCACATGTCCCACTAAACACTGAGGGTAGGTTTGTGGGAGGGGGCAAGAAAAAATAAATCCATGCTACCTACCCAAAATTCAGACACACTCAATGATTCAGCATGCTTCCAGTAATGAAAATACATGGTATCAGCAAAAAATCCAAAGCAGAAAATAATTAGGTCACCAAAGGGTTAAAGAAGTTGGATGATCTGCACATGAGCAAATCACAGCAAAAGGATGAGCCAGGACTCAAACACAGGCTGTCTGACACCTGGCCGGCCACTGCTTCCCACGTGATGCCACTCTTTCTCCTTTCTGTAAGAGTGCCGCTAAAGCGAGCACTCCGCGTTGATCACAGAAAACTTGGAGTAAAGGTTAGACGTAAGGAACATTTGTCTCAGGGTTAATTTTGTTTGGGGAGGGTGGGCCCAGAGCTCTGGCGAGCATAAACTGACTCTGTAAACCTGGACTCTGTAACACTTGAACCACGTCCACAGCATCGGCAATTACAGCAATACCTGCATTGTAAAGACCCAGATGGAGAAATCACCCCCCTCCCGCCCCAAATTAGCAGGAGTTCCTAAAGGGCAGCAGCTTCTTGGTTCCCCGTCTCCATGCTTCCCCCCAACATGGGTCTCATGTTGTTAATTTTTGTTGTACTCCACTTTTCCTTTCTCTTTTCAACACCTCTGCACTGGCCACCCAGGACTTAGAGGAACTTCCCTGTGAAGCCCAGTCTGAAACGGGAACTAACTGCACAGAAGCAGGGAGAGCTGCGCCTACGCCTGTGTGCATGGCCCATGGGAGGGGCGCATCCTTCTCAGGAAGGGGAGAAATGAGCTGTTCCAATGCTTGAGCCCTGGTCAGGCCTCTGACAACTGCTTTCTCTTCTACCGAGCTCTGTAGCAGTAGGATTCTTTTCAATTGTAGACATTTACAGTTATTCTCCATGTAAAGGGTTCCTGTTGTGTTGACATGCTACAGAGTATTCCTCCTCTTTTTATTGAGGAGATCTGTCAGCTCTCAAGGGAGCCCTGGTGGCACGGTGGTTAAAGCACTCAATTGCAAACCAAAAGGTCGGCGGTTCAAACTCTACCAGCTGCTCTGTAGGAGAAAGACCTAGCAATCTGCTCCCATAAAGATTACAGCCTACGAAACCCTTTGGAGCAGTTCTCCTCTGTCCCATAGGGTCGCTATGAGTCAGAATCAACTCCACAGCACACAATAACATCAGTTCTCAGGTGACAGAGAGAGGGTGACTATTGTATAGTGTAGTTGGTTTGAATTAAATTCTTAACCCCAGGTATAGGTGCTGTTTTTACTCATCTTCAATCTGAACATTATAGTCATATCATGCAAATGGTTTCCATACTCTACTTTTCTTTAAATAGCAGTTTGGTAAAAATTATAAAAACATATCACATTAGTGAAAATTTTCTTCCAAAGTATAAAATACAGATAGTTTCATTAATTCTTTTGATACATTCTTCATGTTTGTTCCGAGTACCCAAAAATGAGAAACACGGGTGTTGAGGTTAAAGTGGCAGTGTCACCAGCTTTGAGCTGAGGGCTTAAAGGTACTGTGCAGTAACTATTTGCTTGCACTTGTTTTTATTTATTTGTATTCTTCAGTTCCCGTTTAAGTAGCCGCTTGTGTTTTCCTCCCACTACCTCCATACCCCGCCCCCCATTCCCAGCCAGGATGGAAACACATTAACAAAGAAAGGACGGGTGGTGGTGGTTTTAATACTGCTTGTTTAGCACAATGTCTGCTAGTGTCTCCAGGAGATAAACGCTGTCACCATTGATACTCTCTAAAGTGGGGTTAAAGCAATTTTTCTTCCTCATTTTACCCTGTTGTCAAGAAATCGTACCGTTCTCTGTGATGTGGATGATCAGGTTTGGGTAAAGCCAAGAGAAATAACAAGCTGTCATATCTGAGCCCTCACTGGCCACCTTCAAAGAGTGCTCTGGTGTGACAAGCACGTGGGCCGCCCTGCTAATGTAACCCGCTCTTACAAATCAGTTTTGTTCTGCCCCTGACTCAGGCAAATCTGAGAAGGTTCGTTCTTCTCACACACAAGGAGACAGCACCCAGAGGCTGTCTCTCTCGGTGTTTCAGTGCCTGGTAGGGAAAGTAATGTCCGTATTTGAAATTTAGGGACAAGCGAAAATAACTTGTCTCCCTTTCCTTGAAGGGTTAATGCTCTCACCAGCCTCAGATTAGTTCGCCTGAATCTTAAAATTACTTTTCTGGTCACGCACACTGAAGGCCTAAGCATTTGTGAAATGTGTCTCTTTTTCTTTTTTCTCTCTCCTGATGCTGTTCTCTCTTGGCTGTGTTAATTACACAGGGGTTGAGAAACCAAATTAAAATTAGGCATGGCTGGTAAACAGTGATCACGTTGCATGCTTTGAGCCTTGCTTGTTGGAGTTACTTCTCCTTCCTGAGAGCTTCCCCCAGCCCCCTCCTTGTTTTAAGGAAATATCATAAGCTCTTTTAGAAATAGTCACAGGAAGTGAATACCCATATGCTGGTTACTCACCAGCAACTGAGCGTTGACAGGTGAAGAGAGCGGCTGCTGCAGCCCTCCCGGGTTTCTTTGAAAATTTCCAGCAGAGCCGAGGATTAAATGAGGGTGTGTAACCAAAGGGTTTTTCTATAGACCGAGAGAGCCGTGAGAGGAAATTGGTCACTGCGTGTCATCTTGCGGTCCGGTGATTCAGGGAGCCGTGGTGGAGGTCAGCAAGGCACGTGGCCGCCATCCCCGAGGTTTCTGCCTGCTTCTCAGAGGGTACGCTGTCTTCCAAAAATGAGTGCTCCTCCACCCCCAACAACGATTCTTCTGCAATGAATCACTTCCAGAAATGAATAGCCACGGTTTTTTGGAATGAACGTTGTGAAATCCCTCCGCTTATAATGGCAGGTTTTCAGTTGGTGGTTTTATCAGACAGAATTTCTCAAGATCAAAACGAAACCTTCTCTTTAAAAAGGAAAAAAGTCTTATCAATACAGAAAGCAAAAGTATCTCCTGTCTCCTACCGAAGAACTGTCACTGCAGATCTTATGTGCCTGTATTTAGAGACACATGTCCATATATATGCCTGGATGTATGAGTTCTTGGAAGCATGGATTCATAGCCAGTAGCTGGTGATTTCACCTGCAAAAGATCGCTAACTACAAGAAGTGTTCTCTGCGGTGAGTACGTGGTAGTTTCAGAAGATTATTACTAAACCGGTGTTCATCATCTTGAATCATGAATTTTAAGGACTTCGAGCAGCTCTTAAATACTTTTATTTTATATGATTAATGGGTGGAAACATAGGATTCACAGAAGTCTGTGAAGGGTTTTTAAGAACATGGATTAACTGAATAATCATAGAATCTTTTGAGTATATTTGTCCTTTTGAGGAGAAAAGAGTATTTTACAGAAGGAAGCAGTTTGTGGGGGACTTTTAAGAGGTACAGTCACTGCTTTTTTTTTTAAATACATTTTAAGTATCACTCGCTACTCTCGTGTGAAGGAAATAAATGAATAGATGGTCTCAACAGAGAAAGTCATGCCAACTCTTTATAAATGAAGAGACTTCATCCCTATGTTGTTCTAACTGGGCTTCTTTCTTCCTGGGTATTCACGTGGTGAAACTGTTCGATGAAGAAGACTAACTTTCTGGCAATACCTGCAGTGTGTCTCATTTAAAATGCAGTGAATTTTTGATGGATTATCAGTAGCACTTTTATCCAAGGGGCATGGACAGGGAACCGGATTACTGGAAGCAGTGAGTGTAGTTGAAGGAATTGTTCTCCTTCCAGTGGATAAGTTATTTGACCTACTGACTCATTTCTCGGGAATTAGGAAAACAGCCTGGTGTGGTTTTCATTATTAGCCCTGGAGGATTCCAAAATCGGTGTGCCTGCAAATAAGATGAGCTGGAGAAAGGTGGTGTTGGCACTTGTTACTTCTACTTGCCCAGTCTCCTAATGGAATTCAATTCTTTGCTTTCAGGATAAGTCCAGCCTGCACTTGGGGCCCTCTGTGTGACCGACTGTTCAATGGTGAGTTTGTATGACAACAGTTTCTCATTTTTACTAGTTTTCTGCTTTCTAAATTCCTAAACGGCATTTCATAAAAGGAAACGCTTTAAAGAACTGTTGTTTTTTTTTTCTTTCTGATACGTTTTTAATTCATTTTGTATTTACCTGTAGAAAATGTTCTGGGTGTGATCATTATAAAAGATAACATAACCTGTAGACAACAATGAAAGTTAAGGATTAAGATATATTTTGATAGATTTTTGCAGCCTATTGACGTGAAGGCAGTTTTGATTTTGACGTAGTTATATTCAACGATTTTTTTGTAATGTTATTTTAAATGCAAGTATGAAAGATAACGTGTAGCAAAAATAATATAATTGCTACCCGTTAATGAAAGAGGCGTGTGTTTTTAACTAGTAACGTAATATTTATGTGCAGAGGAACTTGTGATTCATGATGTTTTGGTTTTGAACTAAATGTTACCACGTAAACAAAAAAGTACCAGAAGACAAAGCAAGTATGTTGAATTTGGATAAAAGCAGAAACAGAGAAAAGAGAGCCTTGAGTTTTCAAGTGTTAGATAATTATTTCTGTATAATTTCATATATGCTGGACCCCCCCAAAAAAAATCATACCCTTAGATTATGTTCTTCATTAATGCAACACATGCTTGATGTATAGCAGTTATAGAATTTCTTATTCTCTTCGGAGGTGGCTGAGTAGAAAGTTGAATCTATCCCGCTGATGCTGTTTATTCAGTTTTCTGTTCTATGTCCAAATGCCTTAGAGTTCTTAACCTTCCAAAGCGTTAGATCCTTTGAGATTATGATGGAGGCCATGAGTCATTTTTCTAAAAAACACCCCCATACACAAACACTCACCTGCATTTTCAGGGCATTCCCAGACCCAGTAAAGCTCATCCATGCCCCCAGGTCAAGGATGCTGGCCTCAGAGGGAGACTTGACCATGATCCCACCATTGCTTAGCTTCCCAGTAAACATGATTATTAAAAAGAGGACACCTCCAGGTCAGAAACAAGTCACTGTCCGTGGTTGCTAGGCGGGTGTGCAAAGCCTGAGAAAAGGAGAAAGGGTGGAGAGAATATGTGACTAATACTAAAAAAAACAAAAAGCCAGAGCCACTGCCGTCAAGTCGATCCCAATTTATAGCGACCCTATAGGGTTTCCAAGTCTGTAAATCTTTATGGAAGCGGACTCCTGCCACATCTTCCTCCCACGGAGCCGCTGGTGGTTTCGAACCCTCAACCTTTTGGTTAGCAGTCGATTGCTTTAACCACTGAGCAACCAGGGCCCCCATATTCAAAAATAGTTTTTAAAAAGTGGTTAATAGTATCAGAACCTTCAAACTGATACCCCAGAATCCCTAAACATTAATCATGTATGTGTGTAAAGTACGTTGTGAATTCAGGTAGAGAGTTAAAGACTCGAGGTTAAACAATCAGAGAGAGTTTTCCTTATACATATTTTTGCCTCTGTCTTTTGTGCAGTGTATAACTGTTTCTTTTTCTTTTTTTCCTATTGCGTATGTTACCAAATTAAGTAGGGTTGGAATTTTCTAAATTCCAGGAATGTAATTCATAACAGTTGTAACAAACCAGAAAAATGATCTTACATTAGCTGAGAAATTTGGTGAAGGTAGACACAAGATAGTTTAGTCGAGTACAAAAGAAACACAGTTTAAAAAAAAATGTAGCACTTACTGCCCATAAACTAAATTTAAGTCAATGCCGCAAGACTGTCGTGGAAAAAATAGACACAGTTCTTGGGTGTATTAAAAAGAGAATAACATAAAAGAGCATGAAAATAAGACTTGACATTAGTCAGACTCTTCATTGTGCCCAAGTTTGAGTCATGCTTGAAAAAAGATTTTGCACTGGTAAAGGCTCACATACAAGCAGCAGAAATCACACACCCTTCTACGAAAGGATAAAGTAATGGAGGGTTTTAGTTCCGAAAAAGACTGGAGAATTTCTTGCTACTAATAGTCATTAAGGACTGTCTGATCTCTCCCTGCACTCCTGGCGCCCAGCATGTTGCCTACATTCAATAAATTGGAGTGCTGTAAGTGCCCTTGGTGTTCAGGAATGTTAGTGACGCTTCTGTGATACACCCAGCAGGACTAAAGAGATTCAAATAAAACCAGAGAGATACTATCAGAACATAAGGGATATAATAGATAAACATGTTGGCTGATTAATAGATGAGAAGGACTCAAATGCCAATTGATAAAATAGTTGAGTGGTTAGCCGAGGAAAGTTATGAAATCTTGTGTTGGTACCTCTTTCAAGATAAACTTGGTAACTCTGTTCTAGGTGATGGAGCCGTTTATTCATTCATTTAGCAAACATTTGCTGGGGTCCTGCCTTGCTAGGGGTCCATGGTCTGGCAGAGGAGGCGGAGATGCAAAAACAGAATCACGGTGTCTGATTAGTGCTGTGGTCGCATAGAAACAGGTGCCTTGGAGCTTGTAATTCTTAGCCTCCACTCACAAGGCTCCTGATGGAGGTGATCTCTGAATTGAATCTTAAAGAACAGTCTCCAAGGAGGTAGCCAGATGAAGGAGGCAAGCGTGGTGGTGAGGGTTCAGGCAGAAGGAAGGGCGTATGCAGAGGCTCAGTCATCGGAGGGGTGTGGTGGAGGGTGTGGGGAAAGGAAGCATGAGAGAAGATAAGCTGAAAGAGTTATTGATAACACTGGGTCTGGTTTGCCCTGCCATGTTTGCCTAAAGGGTTCTACCTGGGAGAGTGACATGGCCAGGTGCATACTTCAGGAAGATCACCCAGGCTGCAGTAAAGAGAATGAGTCGTGGGGGAGAGGAAGAGAGGACAGGTCTGGCAAGGCAAGGAGAGCAGTGGAAAGCTGCTTTGGTAATGCATTGGAGAAATTAGGAGGAAATAGACAGTAATGGGTTCAAGAGAGATTAACCAGTTGCCGTTGAGTCAGTTCTGACTCATAGTGACTCCATGTGTGCAGAGTAGAACTGCTTCATAGGGTTTTCAAGGCTGTGACCTTTCAGAAGCAGAACATCATGTCTTTCTTCCAAGGAACCTCTGGTTGGGCTGGAACCTCCAAACTTTCAGTTAGCCAACGACCACCTGTTCGTACCACCCAGGGACTCCAAGGTTCTTGATACACTTTGCCAAATTGTTTCCCAGAAAGCTTACACCAAGTTACGCACATTCTAGCAATGTATGGAAATACCTGTCTCCCTGTATTTTCAACAGCAGTGTCATCTTTTTTTAATCTTTACCAATTTTTTAGACAAAAATGTTGCATTATTCTTGGTTCACTCATTCAACAGCTATTTAATGAATACCCACTCTGTTCCAGGCATGTAGCATTCTTTTATTGCTATCAGTAAAGTTGATTTTTTTTTCCATCTATTTATCATTAGCCTGTTGTTTTCTTTTGTTAATATTCTGTTTATGTCCATTATCAACTTTTCTGTTGGGGTGGGACTGTGTCTATAATCTGGTTGTAAGGTCTCCTTTATGCCTGTGTGTGATATTGGAAGCCAGTATTTTTCCTAGCTTCTTTGACTTTTAATTTTACTTATGATTTTTTTTGAGATACAGAAACTTTAAATTTATTTAGTTGAATAAATGATTTTTGTCTCTCTTTTTCTTTGTTACTTCTATAACCTTGAGCTTAAAAATTCCTTCCCTCTCAGAAGTTTAAATGTTTTACGTTAAACCCATCAAATTTATCTGAAATTTATTTTTATGTAAGGTGTGAGGCAAGGATTCAGACAGATTTTTTTTTTTCACACAGTTGAGTCCCGAATGTTGTGTGTTGAGTAATCTGTCTTTGCCTAGTTAATGTGGGTGCTTCCTTGATTTCATATTTCATGACCTCTTACTGTTACACCTAGCTGTCGGAATCCTTGAGTTTTGGGATGTTAGGACCTGGGTGGAGGATGTGATCATATTTTTTCCCAGCATTTCATTATGAAAATTTCAAACATACAGCAAAGTTGAAAGAATTTTACAATGACCTTCCAGCTAGATTCTAGAATTAATATTTTACCACATTTTCTTTATCATACATATATTCAGGTAATTTTTTTTTTTTATGGTGGTGAAAATATACGCACCAAAACATTCATCAATACAGCCACTTGCACATTTACAATTCAGTGACATTGATTATATTTTTCATGCTGTGCTGTCATTATTGCTATCCTTTTCCAAAGTATTCCACCACCATTAACATAAACTCATTGCCCCCCCCCAGACAAAAACCCCACCTTATCTTCTGCCTCCCACCCTTGCTAACCAGTAATAATCGTTGGTTTCTATATATTTGGTTATTTCATATAAGTGAGCTCATACAGTATTTGTACTTCTGTGACTGACTGACTTCACTCAGCATGATGTTTTCAGCATTCGTCTGTGGTGTGGCATGCATCAGAATTTAATTTCTCTGTGTTGTTGTTGTGTGCCATCGAGTTGATTCTGATAGAGCAACCCTATAAGACAGAGTGGAACTGCCCTGTAGGGTTTCCTAGGCTGAAATCTTTGTGGGAGCAGACCTCCAGGTCTTCTCCTGCAGAGCAGCTGGTGGGTTTGAAACGCCAACCTTTTGGTTAGCAGAGCACTTAACCATTGCACCACCAGGACTCCGTTATTTCTGTTTATGACTGTGTAACATTCCATTGTATGTATATACCACATTTTGTTTACCCATTCATCTGTTGATAAACATTTCAGTTGATGTGATAATTTTTAAACCTTCTTAATCATTATTTGAATTCAGAAGTGGAATATCAAAGATACTTTATTTAATCCTACTTTTTTGTAGATTTGATTTCCAGGAAACTTTTAGCAATTTATATTATATTTGGGTCTTTTTGTTATAATGAGGGGTACTATTAGGAAGAGAAAACTAAAATGAAAATATCTTTAAATCATGCTAATTATTTTCGTTTAAAAGAGTTGATACTGTGTTCTCTCATCTAAAATCATAAACTGCCTTTAGCTCAAAATGAATATGTGCAGTAGA